TGTTTTAAGCCACTAGAGTTGTGGTGACCAGTTATGCAGCAATAGATAATTAATCCAAGGGCCATCATTAAGAAATGATACAGAATTTAAAACACAAAATTAGATTAAAAAAAGGTTTATTACCATTTAGAATGAGGACAAAATCACACAAATTACTAATTTTAAAATGTCGACAAGTACCACAGACACCTCGTTATTCAGAAAGATAGCACAATTATTTTTATTAACTACTAACAAGCTGTTATAACTCTTAACTCTACACTTTAGGCCACAATCTCTTTGATAAATTCTTCATGTGAGGAAAGTCTGAAAATATTAATTTTCTATACATTAAAAAGAAAGGTAGTTAAACTTTTTACTATAGTTGATCAAAAATCTTCTATCACTACGAATGTAAAAAATTCATGTCAACTTACTAACTTGTTATGGATAATGTTATGTAAAGTTTTAGGGTCAAATATGAAGTGCAATTATAGATTTTAGGTTGTTTCTAGTTTACAGGTGCAGAGGGTAATCTGAAATACTCTGAGTTAACAAGTATCCACCAATTAGTTGTTGAGGTTCTGAGTGCTTTGGCTTATTGTTTTATGTAATCTCTGTTAATGCCAGGATTTTGTGTCAGATTGGCAAGAAGTGTATTTTTCCTGTAGTCCTCATGTAGTTCACTCCTCTTCATTAATAAGATTTGAAAATAATTATCTATTTAAACTATTCCCTTTTAATGAATTATAATTTTTCAAATAATATATTTTAAATGAATTATCTATTCAACACATTAATATGTTAATGAATTTTCTATTCAATATTTACTTCTCCCTTTTTCTGAATTTCCATTTTTCTTTTTATTTAGTTGATACCACCAGCTTTGCAATAACAAAATATTTTCTATAGATTTATCTTTACCACCTTGTGTTCTATTATATCAATTTTATATCTAAATTTCTTTCAGTTATTTATCGAAAAACTCAGTATAATGAAATACAAGATCTTCACATGTGTTCAAATAAGAATTCTGTACTTATTTGTTATATTGAAATATTCTAAACTTGTTTCTGGAAATCAGGTTTTTTTATTGTTTTATTTTGCAAATTTTACCAAAACATACCTTCAGGTAAATACGCCCCTAGGGGCCAGCAGAGGCCTGGAAAAGTAGAGCCTTAAACTCTAAGCTTCATCACCTTCTCTTTACAATACCTTTGGGGTCATCCCTCAGTTGACTCTCTTGGTTGGTGACCATCCATTATCCAAGCAAATGAGTCTTAAAGACAGGCCTGTACTCACTGATACTGCTAAATCAATAAGAAAAAATCTAGTATCTTAAATAACTACTGGGGCAGTAACAAAATGTGGTTATTTAAATGGAAAATGAAAAATTAAAAAAAATAGAAAAGCTATATAAAGTAGTAATTGTACAGGTACAATATAATGGAGCAATAACTTACTTTTTATGCTAAAATCAACAATAGTTTAAAATAAAAAAGAGCTGCTTTAATCATCATTAGAAAAGATAGAAAATTAAATGTTTATTTGTCAACTGTGTGGAAAGCGATGTCACTTAAAAGATATAACTTATAAAGTGTATTTAAACTTATCATCAGAGGAAAACTCAATGGCTCAATGGTTTTCTTTCATCCTTTTTTTAAAATTTTTGGTCTTTTTGCATTTTAACAGAGACTAAATTTTTTTCTACCTTAAGAATTTAGGCAAAGGACAATAAACAAAATCAAACAATGTATTATTTAATTTATGTTAATGTTAGAAAAGGCATGGTACAAGATTTTTCAAATGATCCTAATGTTTCATAGTTCATTAAATAGGTTGTTTAGTTGAAAGATTTATTTAAACAGAGAATTATTAGTGCAGTTTATTAAAAAGAAAAAATTATCTTTAGATTTAGAATGTGAAAGGAAATATAAAAACAAAATAAATGAGATTATTTTTAGAAAATTATTCTAAATTTATGTTAAAATTTGAAAAATAACTCCATATTGGTAAAATAATTTTTACCTCCAAAATTAGGAGTTACATACTAACAAAATTTTAATATGCTTTATTGCATTGATGGCTTCTAAATAAAAGTAATACATTTTACGTTTTTAGCATGTTTTAAAACTCATGCGCCTCCTTTCCTCACCTGGTTAGAAAGCTTATATTGGGGAAAATAAGCAAGGTTGACCTTCTTTCTTCATCACAAAGCACTTCTATGTTTTCTAACGTATTTTGACACCTCACCTACATTCAGGCTCAAAATGTGAAAGGAAAGAGAGGCTGTGGGCATAGAAAATTTCTAACATAACTGGAGTCCTTGCATGGTGGCATAATATTTAGGACTGGTGGATGTTAGGCACTTTTATAGGATCTTCAGACAAGGTCAGTGTGAATATTTTACTGACATTTTGTCCAGAACAAGTTGACATTTTCATCTGGCTGCTGGTTACATTTTCTTCCTCAGTTTGGGCAGAGAACAGAGGGACACCCTGTCTAGGCCCCTGGCAAGATGATCTGGGATGACTCACTGGGGCTGCAGAATCTACTTAGATCTTTTCTACAGCAGACATGCTGGAATTGACTGAGCTGGGAACACAGTGAGTTGTTTCAGGGATCTTGGGGCCTTCAGTGTGAATTGTTCCATGGAGCTGTTCGGGCTTCCCCACAGCATGGAAGCTGTGTTTTCAGAACAAGTTTACCAAGGTCAGGAAGTAGGTGCTGCCTGTCCAGATTTGGCCTGGTTCTGGTTCTGGTAACCTGCATACAATTACTTCCACCATATTCTATTAGATCAGTCACGGAGCCTTCTCAGATACAAGGAAAGAGAAGATAAACCCTCCCTTTCAATGAGAGAAGTTTCAAAGATCTGAAATTAGTCTTTCTTAATTAAGATTTATTTCCCTTCCACATGTGTGATATCTAGGCAGAAGCAGTTCGTGACCATGAATGCACATCTACCATCAACAGTGACTAAGACTCCCTCCATTGTCTTGCTCCTTTATCCCTTCCACCTTGTGGTCCAGAAGGCTAGCAGGAGGGAAGAGGAATAAAGACAAGTGTGTGTCCTCCCTTTAATTATAGTTACTAAAATTTCTAATGGGTCTTCTACTTATGTACATGTAGCTGTTCCTAACTGCAAGGGAAATTGGGAAATTTCATTCTAGTATTTTATTCTAGAAAGATCTCTATTTAGTTAAAAACTAGGATTTACCTATTACTTAAGAAAATAGAAAGAATGAATATTAGGAGAAAAGCAGTAGTCTCTGCTACAGAATACATTTTTGCATCTTTTCTGAGAAGAGAATAATTTAGAAGATTTTTTGTATTGGTTGGAATTTGCTTATAGCTAGATTAAATTTAGATAATTAAAGTAGAAATTGATTTAATTCAAAGTACCAGTTGGCTAATATAATTTTTAATGCATAGTGAGCCATGTAATCCATCAGAAGAGATGTATCTAGAAGTGTCTAATCGCCTTACAAGACTATTCTAGCAGAAATTCCTCTTGACACCCCCACAGCCACAGACACTAGAACCTTTGCCAAGCTGCTGCAGAGAAGATCAAGTGACTACATGACTGTCCTTGGCAGAAGAGCTATTCAGCCTCACTCAGCCTTCGCATTATCTCTCTTAATTCTGAGAAGATGTAATGGCTTCAAGTTCTCTATACAGCCCAGTTGCAAGGGCCAATGGGAAATGAAGCTTTTAGCTTCAGCCTGGGAAAAAGAAGAGATACCAGGAGAAGAGATACCAAAATGGAAAGACTATGTTCAAAATAGCTTGTGTGTACAAGCAACATCTCTCAATTTTTAGGTGCTACCACTAAAAGTAAGAAAAACTGCAGTATACTATTTTTGAAGACATGAAAGTTTGAAAATTCACTAAAAAAATCAGTATTTTGAAAGAAAGAAAAATTTGTCTTTATAATCTTCCCAAATCTTCTCAAGCATAAACTAAAAACATTTTAAGAGCAGAATATATTTGTGGTAAGTTAGACATTCAGAGTTTATGTTTTAATTTTACCTCTCCTTTACAAATGAATATAAATAATTACAACTAGCAAAATAGGTAAAAGCAATAGACATATTAATTGCACATATACAGATATGAACATCCAAATGCAAAAATAAAAGACCCCATGAAAGCAAATTAAAATTGATCAAAACCATATTTGTTCTCTCTAGTAACAGAAGAAATCAAATTATAGGGAAAAAAATAGCTATGATTTTATTTTTAATCTTAAAATCTACACTTCCTACCAAAGTCAGAAATATATGCCTTGTTTGATCATTTATTTCATTATAACATAAAAATGGCTGGATTGCATTGAGAAAAACTTATTGGGTTTAGAGTCAAAATATCTGGGTTCAGATATGCTTTTTATCAGTTTCTTACTTTGACTTTTGTGATGCTCAATCACATATCTAAGAACATGTGGATAATAAAAACTTCGTCATAAATGTATGTTTATTACTAAGTTTAACTAAAATAACAAACAAAACAGTTTGTGAACCATTACTGATATCTATTAGTTGCTTAATTACTTTTATTCTTTTATTATTTGTACCACATGTGCATTGCTCTGTAATCACCTTCAGTCCCAGGTCTAACCTCTTATAAAATCCTGTTGATTCTGGATTCATTCATTCCTTCATTTCAATTTCTCTTTCCATCATCCTAGCATAGTCTCTTCACTTCTTTTTTGATCTCCCTTCCTAGAGGCTCTCTCCCCTTTAATGTATGTTGCACTCCATCTCTAGATGAATTTTATAAAACACAGTCATGACAACAAACTTTATTGCTTAGAAGGTGAAGCTCAAAACATGTTGCCCTGGCATGTCAAATTCTCCATTATCTGGCCCTGATTGAATAAATTACCTTCTCTCCTGCTAAAGTTCAAGATAAAACTCTCTTCCATTCCAATGAAGCCAGGCTTTTTATTATTTTTTTTTTCAGTTCACAATTTTCTTTGTAGATGTTGAGATAACTCTCCTCCCATAACATTTTCTTGGGAAAATATGGAATGCTTCATAAATTTGTGTGTCATCCCTGCACAGGGGCCATGCTAATCTTCTTTGTCTCATTCCAATCTTAGTATATGTGCTGCCGAAGCGAGCAAAAGCCAGACCTTTTAATACCTTACAAGTACAACATGCTCATACCTATGCTTTTTTTCCCCTCTTGGAGTAAATTAGTGCCTGTACTGTGTAGCCTCTCAAAGAATGTTGTTTGCATTGAACTTTGCAGCCAGTGAATAGTTTCCCAAATTGCATTTCTCGGAGTAGTGGATGCATGTGAAATTACAGTTGAGAAATTGTTTTATGGGTGTAAACACTTGGTACTATCTATATCAAAAAGCTTCAAGACATATGCAATTAAAAGATGAAATAATATGCTACTAAATGTTAAGTGGGACATATTCAGAGATCAAGGCATAGCTGACAGCTCTGTTGTGAGTCATAATTGATATCTTTATTTATGTTTCATTGATTATTATAGTTCTATGATTAAATTTATTTGTTATCCAAAACCTAGATAGAGTCTATTAGACCTGGGTAATCAAATAGCCACTATCTCCATTATCTGTTTAACTTCTAATTTTTTTTAAAGAAATCAGAGGTGCTTGATTAAGGTTTTGAATGGCAGAAGCCCCACTAACATAAGCCTCTGACTTCGCCGTTTCACTGGGAATTTCCTTAACGCTGATTTTGAGAACAGGAAGACTAGGGAAAGCAGGACTAGCACCTTAGCAACTGCCATCAGATGAGATGATGGAAATGGGTCTATTTAGCCAAGTGTGAAGAAAGGCAAATTGTGACAAAACAGAAAGAAAACAGAGATTTACATCACTGACATATGAGCCGTAGTTTTTTAGTAAACAAAGGGAAAATTTTTTAGGCGTGAGAAATAATGTCCCCTGAATCAAAACAAATTGTAAGTATTGATTTTACAATTGATTATCTTCAGTAAGCTGCCTTCCAAAAAGGTAGGAATGGCTTTCAATGGCATTACATATAATGACAAAGCCAAACACACACGAAAAACAAAACTATAGATTTTTTTTTCATCTTTGAGGAGCAGTCACATAATTCCTGTTTATTTCTTTGTTTGTATTATTTTGTTGTATTTGAGTTCATGAGGGTATTTAGGTAATTTCCTCTGGTTCTTCATAGCATACCTAGAAAATATATGCTTTCCCTTCCCTTCCCTGGCCCCCCAGTAACAACTCTAATGATCTTAATTTAGACTAACAATATCTAGGAAAAATATCTAAGGTAAAAAATAAATAAGAGATAAAATAATATCAAGCATTTGACCATAATGAGAAATGGAGAAGACTGGCTCTAAAGTATGCAGTCTTGGGGAAACACAATGGCTTCACTGACATTCTGATTTGTCCTACACCAGTGTCAGTTTCCTAGGGCTGCGGTAATGAAGTGCCACATACAGGGTGGCTTAAAAAAGCAGAAATGTATTCTCTCACAGTTCTGGAGTCCACAAGTCCAGACTCAGGGTGTCCTCAAGGCCATGCGTTCTGTGAGACTCTGGGTATAATCCTTCCTCTCCTCTTCTGAGATACTGTGGCTGGCCCTTGATTCTCGGCACTCCTGAGCTTGCAGTTGCATCACTCTGATCTCTAACTCTGTCATTACATGGCTTTATCCCCGTGTGTCTCTGGGCTTTCTTTATAAGGAACCAGTCATATTGGATTAGGGCCACCCTAATGACTCATCTTAATTAGACTGCATCCTCAAAGACCCTATTTGCATATATAGGTCACTTTCTAAGGTACTGGGCTTTAGGACATCAACATATCTTTTGTAAAGACACAATTCAATCCATCCATAACAAGTGTAACATTTGTGCCCCAAGGAAAAATGATAAATAGATGTATATGTTGTTTTTTTAAATATCCTTTACTCCTTTTTTTTCCCCCAGTTAATTCTGGGTGATAGAACAGATCACTTATAAAATCTCCATATTATTAATGATCAATGGAAAAATGAACATTGAAAGAGTCAGAAGATGCATGTTCTAGTCTCAGCTTCATTAGGCAAAAACTGTCTAATGGGCTAATATGAGGATATCTGGTGTGAGGAAAAAGAGGATAGTGCAGAGTACTGCAGGTAAGAATGTAGGTTTCTCTTTGGAGACTAACGTTCCCCTACAAGCTAATAGGAAGCTAGATGGCAAGGGTTGCTTGTTTGTTTCATGCATCAGAAAAGAAAACTGAGCTGATGGGAAACATAAGAGATAAAGGTACATTGATAAGGTAATAACTCCCCTAACACCCAGAGATCTTTGTGTAGGCAGTAATAGGAAAGGCGAATTTATAAGTCACAAATTTGGAAAACAGAAGCAGAGGGCATTCAGATGTTCATACAAGGTTTTGACCAACAAAAAATGAAGTATATGGAAAAGATCTATAATTAGAAGTTAGATAAAGAAGCCTGACAAATGCTGTGGCTGAGAGTTGCACAATAATCAAGGTAATGATACTATTTTAGAGCAAAGATATTTTCAGTGTAACAAAGAGGCAAAATATTACTCGGACTGCGATACACCATTAGGATGGCTAAAATCCCAAACACTGACAATAGGAAATGCAGGAAAGGTTTTGGAGCTGGAGGAATTCTCATTTGTTGCTGGTAGGGATGCAGAATGATATAGCCACTTTGGAAGACAGTTCAGCAGTTGCTTACAAAGCTTACCATATGCTTGCATAACCTAACCATATGACCTAGCAATTTTATTTGTAAATATTTACTAAAATGTGGTGAAAACTTTTGTCCACACAAAACCGGTCATATGAATATTTATAGCAGCTTTATTCATAATCACTAAAGTGTGAAAAGAACCAAGATGACCTTAAATAGGTGAATGGATGAACAAACTGTGGTACATCCATTCAATGAGACAGTATTCCACAATAAAAAAGTGAGCTATCAAGCTACAGACATACACACACACACACACACACACACACACACACACACAATAAATTGATTAAATTAAAAAACAGAAGAACCTTAAAAGCATGTTAGTAAGTGAAAGAAACCAGTCTGCAAAGACTACAGATTGCATGATGCAAACTATATGATACTCTGTAAAAGGCAAAGCTGTAGAAACAGTAGAGAGATCAGTGGTTGCCAAGGGTTCAGGGAGTTGCAAAGGGGAGGGATAAATAGGGCAGTGAAACTATTCCATATGCTCCTGTAATGACAGACACATGACATTACATTTGTCAAAGCCCACAGAACTATACAACATAAGGAGTGAATTCTAATGTAAAATATGTATTAAATGGTATGTAAGTTACAGCATTTTTGTTTTATAACAATATGATCTTAGTAATATCTATCAGGAAACATCTGGGCAACATTTACAGAGGACGTTCACTGTGGGTTATTGAGTGCAGCTGCTCAATTCTATTTGATCCTCTCAGGATATCTCAAATAGAATGATGGTGATGGTAATCTGTCACTGCAGGCTGAGATCTGTCAGGTTGTCAGGTTGCAGAAAGAATGTGGTGGAGCTTACCTTACCTGTTTAATTTCCATTCACATCACCCTTAAACTCTAGAGTGATTGTTTTATTAGGTTATAAGGACTGCCTTTAACAAGCCCTGTTCCTGGACCTAGCATCCGGGTTCTTGTTTTTCTTGCCATCATTGTTATAACCACTGCACACATTGCCTTTATTAAGCCACCCATGACCTCAGCCTTGGATCCCTACTGCAATCTCTCTTCTGAGTGACTGGGCTGGCTGGGAAATATATCACACAGGCACATTTATTGGTGCCATTTCATATGATCTGCAAGCTGCCTTGAACTCTCAGCAACACTTACATTCAGTCTTCATGCTCAAAAATATATTTTCCAGACCTTCATCGTAAAAAGCCCATCTGGGGAAGGCGTGAAATCACCAACTCTTACAAATTATGCCTAAAAAAAGATAATTTCTCTCTGGGTTATTCACACATTGTATACACAATGTGAGTATACACAATGTGTGAGTAAGACAAACAGATTTAGTCAAGACAGTTTACCTCAGTCTATCTCTTCAGCTTTGCAGATGGCAGTGGGTGGAAATACAGACACTTGTGCATCCCCATGACCTCAAGAGTCGTCCTGACAAGGTCTTTGGCCACGTGAAATCAGCCACAATCCTCAGACACAGCATGTGTTTCCCATGAACCCACTCTCTAACCTCTGCTTTCCTATGGATTCTATCCTGTATTTTAGCAAGTGTTGTTTCTCTTGCTGAAGTAGTAATTTTATGTTAATAAAAATGAAAATTCTCTAAGTATAGAATACTTGGATGTTCACCACAATATAAATAATACTACATCATCAAAATTCAGCAACCTAAGAGATATTTAGTCTTAATATTATGGAGTATGTCTTTTGCTAATTTTTCTAGTTATATTATTTTCTTGTTTTTCACAGAATTTGTAAAAAAACTTTCAATGTCTCTCTTTTTTCCCAAAATCATAAGTTTCAATGCCTAAAGTGTATTTAATTATATAGCTATAACATAAATTACTGAAGCTATCTCCTAATAGTGGATATTTTTCCATTAGCTTTTTCTCAGTATACTTTCCTTAGAATGGGGACGCTCCAGATTCCAAGTGCTGTCTTAAGATAGATTAAGTGGTTATATTCAATTCTAACAGAATATTCAGAGTATATTTTGGTTTCTAACTTTGAGTCATTTGAGGATATAGCATGGCAGATACATTTTTAAATTTACTCTTGGAAAATCAAGTAGAAGAATCCAGGAATCTGAGTCTTTGCAATAGACACAACTTTAGCATCCTTAACCATAATCTCAGTGATAGAAAAGAAAACAAGAAAAAACCCAAATTTTGACTTTTCAGAGCTGCTGTTCTGTAGCCATTTAAAAGTGAGGAAATCAGGCAGCGTCCCTGCAGCCTGAAGACCCTGGCTTCCTGTTTGCGGTAAGAATGTAAATATGTATCTCTTTCCTTACCTCTATCACTCTCTCTATCTTTACCATTTTTAATAAGAGAAAAATACTCATATTATCCATTTTTAAATTCTGGAAGATAAGGAAGGTTATGAAATGTACTTAATTTTAAGAAATCAGTCATAGTGC